GTTCTAGATTAGGAAACAAAATGAACTGTTTATTTGCTTGTTTGTTTGTTGTTTTGTTTTTATTAAATAGAATATGCGCATTATGGCTAAATATTATACACGAGTTCGAACACAAAAAATGGCTGATTTACTTGATTTAACAAAAGATGAAGCTGAACAATTCTTATCAAATCTTGTTTCAAATAAAACTATTAATGCTAAAATTGACCGTCTTCAAGATATTGTTACATTTCAACAAAAGCAATCTCCACAAGAAATTCTTAATGAATGGTCGGTTAATCTCAATTCTTTAATGACAATTATTAATAAAACATGTCATTTAATTAATAAAGAAGAAACTGTTCATGCTGTACGGACTTAATAAAAACAAAACAACAAACAAACAAGCAAATAAACAGTTCATTTTGTTTCCTAATCTAGAACATAAGTTATCAAACTGTTGAATTTTTTTTTTCGCGTTTGTTCTGTTATTTGTTGATCTTTGCTTCTTTTTATCTTTATTCCATATCTTCGCAGAGACAAAGAAAGAACCCAAGAATAAACTAAACCTGTGCTCTCTAGATAATAATGTTACGTTCTATATTGCAATATGTGGTCGTTCTACTTTTATTACATCGTAAGTCAAAACATTTGAATAAGACTTTTCTGAAGAAAAATTCAAATGATGTTAAAATCTTTGTGCGACGTTTATTGTTTCATTGATTGAAGTTTAAAATTCTAAAAAATATCTTTCCATTAGTTTTTACATTACTTACATTAGATTTTAATCTTATAATAATCATATTTTCATTTTAGTCCATTGAAATTAAAAATAAAACCGTGAAAATTTAAATAATCTCAATTTGTGATCTTTTGACTTTGATGGAAATTATATTGACATATTTATATACATTTTTATTTTGTATTTCATGCAAAATATTCTTGGTTTGCATTGATAGTTCATCAAATCTAACGTTTGTGACATTATTACCGTTGTTGTGCTTAAAGTCATGCTTTGAGATGTACGAGCACAAATGAATTTAGAAGCGATGAGATAGTATTTAGCTAAGCACAAAAGATTTAAGACAGTAAAAAAAAAAAGAAAAATTTCTGAGTTTATCTTCTAGGTAATATGCAAATATAAATAGAATTCATCTGGACTCTACTAAAGTAACAGTATCAATAAAGGGTGTTTCGTATGTTTCGACACCATTTTTTTTTTTGTATCTTGATCATATTTAAATGTCGATATATATTGTATATATGCATTTGAAGTGTAGTACATAAGTTATCATCCAAAAGAAATTTGACTGATTTTTCCATTAACTCAAAGAAAATACTACGTTGGGGAATAGTATAGAAAAAATTTCATCGAAGTTATTTTTACAACATGGTTCAAAGTTACGAAATTTCAAATTTTTCGTCTTTGTTAAGTCGTATCTCCATAAAAACAGAAGCAAAACATCTGAAGTTTTATTCTCGTAATGAAAATTTCAGTTTTTTTTTAATGTTCCGTACAGGTCACCATTTCGAGAATAACTCTGCTTTGACTGTACCAACATGAACAAAATTTTTGTGAACATTAGATTTTCATTGAGATTCATGCATACGAGAAATTTCAGAGTTTTTTCTATTGTGTTCACTGAGATACGACTGAACGAACACGAAAAGACAAAATGCCGTAATATTCGATCACATTCAAGAAAAAAAAACTTTGATAAATTTTTTCGATATTTTTACTAATGTAATATTTTCTTTGAGATGATGCAAAATAAGCCTAATTTCTTTCAGATGATAACTTATGTGCTATATTTCAAATACATATAGCCAATATCCATCCACCTTTAAATAGGACCAAGATACAAAAAATGAGATCGAAATTAATGAAGTACCTTTTAATTTTGAATCAAATACGTAAAAACTGAATATATAATAAACAAAAGTTTTCTCTCAGAAATGTAAACTTATAATTTAAAAATTCAAGTAGACTGTTGTTTTATTTCATTTTCATGATGAATGTAAAATTTTTACTGGTGAAGCGCCCAAAGACCCTTAACTTATTGTGCGCCATGTTTCCGACAAACTAAAATTTCTATGATTCAAACGAAGATGTTCGTAACATTTTGTTTAACTATTTTGTAAAGAATCGTATGTGATTGGCAAAACCATTCAATGGTCAAAACCTGCTGTTACTTCATCTACGGCAAAAGCAATCCAAGATTTGATCTCTCGTGTACTTGATGATGCTCCAGTTGCACAACTTTTTCAAGTTTCAATTAATTCTGATCTAGCAGTCAATGGCAAAGATGTCTTTGAACTCTCCAATGATTCTCCACCTGGATCGATACTAATTTCAGCATCATCAGGTGTAGCAGCGGCAATGGGATTCAATTATTATCTCAAATATGTTGCACAAAGTTCATGTATGATTAGACTTTTATCTTCTTTTTCATTTCATTATTTCTTAGTTTTGTGTAGTTTATTGGTC